CACTACAAACCACTAGCCTCTTGGAAAAAGGATGCTGCAAGAACTCTAGAGGTGGTAGGTTTACCAATACCAACTTGCACACAGACTCAGAAGTTCATTCACTTGACCCTTGGGCCGAGCTAATTAGTCACAAAAGCGTATTTGAAACTCATCCCTGCCGATTCTCAACACAGTACCCCGAGAAGACTCATCATTAGAGTTGTTCTGAAAGCTGCGTTGGCATGATTTTTGACTTGGTGAGTTTAGTCCTGCCATTGAAGAGATTCTACTAGCTGTGATGGGATGCTAGTGAAGATTTGCATGCAGGGGAGGAGGGAGCTTTTCTCATCATAAAGAGTAATATGGGGCCCTGTTTGGTTCAGTTTATCAAATCAGAAAAACACAGCTGTCTGTAGCTCAGGGTTTGAGACCCTCTGTTGTATGGGTACTCCATGGGCTGATGGAGGTTAAAAAAAAAAACCCCTAACTCCTCTTCTTTAGGATGAAGCTGAAAAGTGAATTATAACACTTGTAAGGCAGCTTAAAGTCTCTGATTTTTCAGGCCTTCTGACTGTGGCCAGCAGAAGGATATAGGTATATAGGAATACCCTCTATAGTTAGTCTGTGTCTGAGCAGGGAGTGGGCACAGGTATAGGTGATCTGCTCATTCTGGCCCTGCACTCTTGATTTCGCCAAAAGGTACATATAGTCTTAAAGGGCCCGTCAGCTCCTTTCCCCTTACCAGTCTGGGCAGGCTTCCCAGGCAGGGAAAGGACTGCTGAGTTACATCAGACATAAATGAATCAATACAAAACAATTCCTTCACAAAAGCAAACCTAATTAGTCACACTGCTGCTGGAAATCAACGACTTCCCTATCCTAGCCGGCTAGCGTATTCCAATTCCCTCACACAACTCATTCTGACTTCTGTTAATGAAAAACACATGTCTACTTTGTTATTATCAAGTTTCTAAGCCTTGCCAAGTTCGTTTTCCAAAGCACCACCAGCAATGGAAACTTTATGATGGTCTTAGAAGGGTTTCTGGGGTTTGGAGACCAGGCGTTGCTCTGTGTTAAGAGAGAGAATTCACAGAAGGTTATGACGCGATCGGAGGTAGAGCTTGGCTTGTCTTCGTTGCAGAAGGGAGATGCAGAACTGGACGATGGGAGCAAGGGTGTGACTCATGAAAATGCTGAGAAGTGCGGCAACCAACTGCACTCTAGCCAGAACATGAAGTTCCCATATGCCTTTCCTTCTGTGTTGTGTCACTGCAGGACACCAAGTGACACGTGTTGAGCGAGTTGTTAGCAGAGTATCTATGATAGATGTTTCTACAGAGAGCTGAGTGCATGGGTTTACAGTCAAGCTGCCCAGGTTCAAATCTTGTTCCACCACTCACAAGATCCAGGACTAACCCTAGATAGGCATGTGCATGCTTGTGTGCGTGCATGCTTGTGTGTGCATGTGTGTGTGCACATGTTCATGTGTCTGTAAATACATATGTAATATGTACCTAAACATGGGAACACGTGGCCATCAATTTTGGGTACCTTCCTCAATAGCTCTCCACCTTGTTTTTGAGTCAGGGACTCTCACTAGAGCTAGACTTTGCTGATTTTCCAAGCTGTCCGACCATCACGCTCTAGAGAGTTCCCTGTCTCCGGTCCCCAGAGCTGGGATTACAGTCATGCATCACTGCACCTGGCTTTTTACATCAGTGCTGAGGACACAAACTCAAGTCCTCAGACTTGCATGGGAGGCACTTTATTGACTGAGGCGTCTCTCCCACCCCTACTTTACTTCTTCAACCTTCCATTATCTTACCTGCAAAACTGCAGTTAGTTCTGAATCTCCTGGGATCTAGAATGTCACCATTATTTTATGTACAACTAAGGCAGAAAAATTGCTGACAATTAAAATGATAACCCATTGATTGTGAAACTAATCAATGTTAGAGATGTTAAAATGTAAAAAAAAACAACATTGGGGTTGAGAGAACAGCACTCTGATGGTGCTAACATGAAGAGTGAGTGAGGTAATTCATACACATGCCCACCATTCTGCCTGCCACTTGGTAACATGCTAATAGATGATTACTACTGTTTCTACTGGCAGAAGGTGGTGATTTGGGTAATTTCAGCAAATCGTTTAACCCTCTGTGGTTTATTTTCTTCATCTTTAAAATGAATGGGTAACCATATGGTCCTGCCATCCAGAATTAGGAAGAAAAACTAATTAAAGAACATTTTTAGGTTCTTAGCCATTCTAAATGGGAAACACTATCAACTGCTTCTGTTATTCAGCTCCCGTGTCTGGGAACTGAGAAAGAACACATTCTGTGTGTTCCTTTTTATCTTGAAGCATTTGTCTTTTTATTGTAATTATTGGAAAATATTTTAATTTTTGCTTTATCCTCAATACAACTGATACTTTTCATTAATTGTTTGTTTAAAATTTTATCCTTTTTTTTTTTGAGACAAGATTTCTCTGTGTAGCTTTGTAGCCTTTCTTGGGACTCACTCTGTAGCCCAGGCTGGTCTCGAACTCACAGAGATCCACCTGCCTCTGCCTCCTGAGTGCTGGGATTAAAGGCGTGCACCACACACTGCCCGGCTTAAAATTTTGTCTTAATATAATACTCTCCTTGTTGGGTAAACCTGAAGAAATAATAGTTGGTTGCAATGCTTTTCAGATGCGTGAATGACTTCAAATTTTAAGTGACTGATGCAGTTAATTTCTGTTGTATCAGTGGAGTGATAAAGAAAAATAGGTTTCAGGTTATTGTAAATAATCATTAAGTGTGAGGGAGCAGGATGTGGTGCCCCCTGCCCCTGCAATCCTAGCACTTGGGATGCAGAGGCAGGAGTTCAAGCCCATCTTGAACTGTATTAGTAAGTAAATTTGGACCACATGAGACCTTATCTCAAAAAATCCTCAACATCAACAATTATGTGCATGCATGTGTGTCCATGTAAGAGATCCATTTAAAACAAGTCCCAGACATTGATTGGTTACATAGAACCCCATGTCAGATGCCACTTTGAATGGCAAAACCATTAGAGTAAGAGAGATTGATTTTATTATAACTTTCAGTTATTGAGTCTTTAGTAAGAAATTGGTTATAGAGATGCCAAGAGATTTAATATCAAAGTTTTGCCTTCCAAAAATGCATATTCCAACAAGAAATAACAACACATTGTTTACTTATAAAGGTGACATTGGGAATACTTAGCAAGCAGAGCCAGTTCTATCTGGCTAAGCAAAGGAAGGCTTTAAAGGTTGTGTTTTTAAAGCTGAGAGGCCGGGAAAATATATTGCCTGCAAAGAGAACCATGCTTGCAAAATTGCCTGGTGTTTCATGAAGAACCATTGTCTGTGTGTGTGTGATGGGATGGGGTCTGGAACACACTGCTTATTTGTTTATCATCCTCACTGTTGTTTTAATTATTAAATTGTAAGTTATTTGTGGCAGGAGTAGCTGCTTTTCTATGTCAGTGACTTTGTTTAGTCCCAGTGAGGCAGTTCTGAATTCAGTGATGGTCACATTTGGCACACCCCACAAGCCAGCGAAGCCATGGACCGCAGCTAACCTCTGAAATGGCTTCCCTGTATTAAATGGGATATATTTCTCCCCCAGATTCTGTGTGGGAGGCTTACACATTTGGTTTGGTAATGAGTTTGCTTTTTGAGCCAAAGAAGAGGAGAGAATAAAGGAAGAGAGAAGGCGTGAGAGGCAATCATAGAAGCTTGGAGGCTCTGAACCTGCAAAATGAAAAAGGAACCTTCATTTCTGCAGAAACAAGAGAGAAACAACTAACAATCTCAGGGCTCATTATGATTTAACTTTGAGATAGCACAAAATGACAGTAATGTGACTGCGGAAGCCTGTTTGAGCCATCAGCAGGACAAAGGAGTAGAAATGGAGTGTATTCGAAGCAGCACAAAGATACCCTCCTCCTCCTCCTCCTCCTCCTCTGTTGCAGGCTGTGCATGCATTAGTGCACGAACGCACCACTAAACGCTACTCACTTTTGCTAAAGTGGCCATTTCCTTGTCTGTGGCAAGTGACTGAAAAATCTTTGTTGTGTATTTCCTTGAACAAAATTCTTGGAACCTCTTAAAGACACCGGCTTTCTGTAAAAGAATGCAAACTGATGCTGGTGGGGACATCAGTCAGGGAATGGCGGGGGTGGGGGGCATGATGAGCTGAAAGGGCACACTACCTTGCAAGGCTCACAGAGATAAGTATGAGCTCATTCAGGTTTTTCCCCTATGAAGACAGTGTTTCCTTTTGTTCCGGGGTGTTGTAGACAAATGAAACCTAGGAGAATCTGCATGTCTCGTTTTCATCACTACAAGTCTGTTATTACTAAGATGATCGCTATTGCCATCTTTCAGTTTCCCCTTTAAGAAGTAAAAATTATCCTAAGCATCACATTGTGAGACCAAAGTCTGAATGAAAGTGCCAGACATTGGCGCCTGTCTATATTATCTCAGAAGTTGGGAATATTATAGTTTGATCTTGGTTATCAGAAGACATTAGTGTCCAAGATCATTTCACTCAACTCTTTGAATATACGGTATCTTGAGAAAGGAATTCTCAAGGCATCGGTGGTTCTGGAATTTTTAAAATTTTAAACCAACTAAATCAGCTCCCTAAAAAGCCCTTCAAAGTGACATCTAGAGTCAAGTGCAGAGTTGCGAAACAGAGCCACAATCTACAAATGCCACATGGTTAAGGCAGGCAGACTTGAATGCAAATGAAGCAGGAAGCCCTAGAGGACACTCAGGACAAAGAAGTAGCTCTTTTCATTTTTTCCAGACTCATGACCCCAAGCACTTCTGTCCTTCGGTATTGTGAAGGCGCGCGTGGCGTGTGTGTGTGTGTGTGTGTGTGTGTGTGTGTGTGTGTGTGTGTGTGGTCACCATTGTCTTCTTCAATTGTTTTCCATCTCAAATTGAACTAGTGTTCACAATTTGGCTATATTTTCTGGCCGGTGAACTCTGGGTTCCATGTGTCTCTGCCTCCCAGTGTGGAGGTTACAGGTACACATGACCATGATGCATTTTTTTTCTTCACATGGGTGCTGGGGACCCTGGTGTTTAGGCTTGTGCATCAGGTACTTTACCAACATGTAATCTCTGTTCTATGGCTGTGAAGAGACACTATGACAAAGGCAACTCTTATTTTTTTAAAAAAAGCATTTCGTTGGGGACTTGCTTACAGTTTCAGAGACTTAGTCCATTATCATCACGGCAGGGAGCATGGTGGCATAGTGCTGGAGAAGTAGCTGAGAGCTACATCCTGATCTGCAGGCAAAGAGAAAGACAGAGAGAAATGGGCCTAGCATGGCCTTTTGAAACCTCAAAGCCCACCCTAGTGACACACTTCCTCCAACAAGGCCACACCTACTCCAACAAGGGCACACTTCCTAATCCTTCTAATCCCATCAAAGAGCGCCACTCCCCGGTGACCAAGCATTCAAATATATGAGCCTATGGGGACCATTCTTATTCAAACCACCACACCAACTGAACCATCTCCTCTGCCCCAGTATCATGACTCCACATGTATCATAAGGTGAAAGATAGTCTGAATCAGATGACCAGGGGTCAGTGACCCTCTGTGCTTCCTTATGATCCCGAGCAAATTAGTTTAAATCCTTATGGGCTGAAATTTCTTTACTTGCAAAATGAGCATGCTAGAAAAGATATTTCTTATTATTTTTCCAGCTCTACAGTGTATGATTCAGAGTAAATGCAAATTAACACTGTGTGAGCAAGATGATCTGTTCACTTAATCAGCAGCACTAAGAGCATTCTCAGAGCTAAGCCCTGTAATGGGGCTGTGGATGTAAAAGAGGAACACTTGATGCTGTTTTCAAGAGGCTAGCAAGGGCAAAGCAAGCCTGGCCAATCAGCAATGGCAAGGCCCTGTGCTTAGTGTGGGTGGACTTGAGACACGAGGGTCCAGAAAGGGGCGGGGCTAGCTCAGGGCTTGGGCAAAGCAGCATGGCAGGTTGTAGTGGTGGTATTTGCAACAGATCCTCAAAGACTAGCAGAAGATCATTTAAGAAAGAAGGGTCAAGCTATTAGGGGAATAGCATGATAGAGACTCAAGGATGGAAGTGTATGCCTTGTGCTTGATGTTAGGTCTATCAATAGTGGACAGTGAGGTTTGTTTAAGACTTGGTTGTGATGATCCTAGAATGTTATGCTAAAGGTTTTGACTTTATCAGAAAGGCACCAGGGAATCACGAAGAATGAATGAAGTGATCAACTTTCTTCTAGAAAGTTCCTCCAGGTAGCACTGGTAAGTCTGACAAGAGGGAGGGTAGAAGGGAGAGGAAGCTCTTGGGAGACTTGCTTGGGTGGGCCATGGGAGAAATGATAAAGAGGATGTGCTGGCTAGTTTTATGTCAACTTGACACAAGCTGAAATCATCTGAGAGGAGAGAACAGCAATTAAGAAAATGTGTATATAAGATTGGGCTTTAGGCAAGCTGGTAGGGCATTTTCTTAATTAGTGTTAGGTAGAAAAGAGCCCAGCACATTGTGGATGGTGCCATACCTCAGATGGTGGTCCTGAGTTCTATAAGAAGGCGACTAAGCAAACCATGAGGAACAAGCCAGTAAGCAGCACTTCTCCATGCCCATTATATCATCTCCTGCCTCCAGGTTCCTGCCCGGGTTGAGTTCCTGTCCTGACTTCCTTCAAGATGAACAGTGATGAGGAATCATAAGCCAAATGAACCCTTTCCTCCCCAAGTTGCTTTGGTCATGGTGTTCTGTGACAGATATAGAAACTTGAAGACAGAAATTGGTACCAGGATCGTGGGGGTAATGCTGTGACAGACATGACCATGTTGTTTGGGGGAGGATGGTAGAAGAACTTTGGAACTTTGGGGAAGAAAAGTCATTCGGTGTTAAGAGCTCAGTGACCTGTCTGTAGGAGCCTGGAAAATAAGAATGTTGAGAGCAGTGCAGACGGTGGAGGCCTGACTTGGGAAGTATCAGAGAGAAGCAAAGACTCTACTGGGCCATTTGTATGAAGCCTCTGAGGCATCTGGTCATCTGGGGCTGAAGAGTCAGCTGTGATTAACAAGAGAGCAGAAACACTAAAGTAAAACATTTGCTTTGTTGGGACAATGGATGCTGGGGCCGGAGAATCAGCTGTGATTAAGAAGAGACCAGCATCATTGAAGTGAAGTCTTCTGGGATGAGTTTCCTCAGGGTCAGCACCTAGAAATGGCCAAGATTGTACCTCCTACTGGCAGCTGAACTTGGTAGTGTGAGAATCACCCAGGTGGTACTGGTTTTGAAGGCAAGAAGGGACCATGGAGAGCAACTGAGGCTTGGCACTGTGTAGCAGGGCTAGAGTCCCCGAAGAGAGCCCCCGAGAGGCTAGTGGTGAAAGTGCAGCCCAGTTGTAGCGGGAGATCCCAGCATTTTGGAGATGCCAGCACCATGGGATGACCACCAAGAACGGCAGCAGGCCTGAGCCTGGGAGACAAGCTGTGGCGCTGTAGAGGACAGAGCCAGAGATGTGACCCCGAGCCCTTTGGAAGAGTCCAGAAGATCGTGAGTAGATCTCAGCTATTATGCATTGAGTTATTTACTGTTGGAGTTGGTTTCTGCTTTGCTTTGATTGTGACTGTGCCCTGGTTCTTCTGTCTTGAAGTAAGAAAGTATTTAACTTATTATTTTTATTTTATAAGAGCCTACAGTTGCGAGACATTATATTTGGAAAGACTATGGATTTTTAAAAGAGTTTGGATCTTTTGAAAAGACTACATTTTTAAGTATTTTAATTTTTAAAGGATATGAGACCTTTTAAGTTTATAAAATGTTTTATGTTGTGATGTCTTTGTTAATGTGTGATCTTGAGGATGAACAAGAAAGCAAAGGTAGTGGCTCAACAGTGATGTGCTTTTGTGCCAAGCTGACAAGGGGCCAGTTGTGCTGGCTAGTTTTATGTCAACTTGTCACAAGCTTAAGTCATCTGAGAGGAAGGAACGTCAATTTAAAACATGCCTCCATAATACCGGGTGGTAGGCAAGTCTGAAAGGTATTTTCTTAATTAGTGGAAGAGCCCAGCCCACGGTGGGTGCAGTCATCCCCGGGCTGGTGGTCCTGGGTTCTATAAGAAAGAAGGCTGAGCAAGCCATGGGGAGCAAGCCAGTAAGCAGCACCCCTCCATGGCCTCTGCTTCAGCTCCTGCCTCCAGGTTCCTTCCCTGTTTGAGTTCCTGTCCTGACTTCCTTCAGTGATGAGGAATCATGAGGGAAATGAGCCTTTTCCTCCCCAAGCTGCTTTGGTCATGGTGTTCCGTCACAGCAGTAGTCACCCTGCCTAGGACAGAGGGTTATCTGAGAATGTGGCAAAGGAAGTCAGGGAGAGATGACACTCTCGAGAGAGGGCTTGTGGACTGAATCCATACTGTCTATTTATGTTCACTTGTCTATCATCCAACAAACCTATTCAGTGTCCTCTATCCATAAGGCAGTGTGAGCTTGGTCCTACATGATGAGAACAACAACATTGCTGCAATACTGAGGGTGTGTGTGTGTGTGTGTGTATACAGAGAAGAATAAGTGAAATAGTTCTATTTTGGGTGGGCTTCCTGGAGAAGGTGGGAACTGACTCTGATTTCCAAGGAAGAAAATGAGAAATCTGTAGAAAGAGGTGGAATAACACTGCTATGCTTGGCCATAAGAAGGACGAGATGACCACCGGGTGTGCTTGGCTAGCAGAGAATCTTCAATCAATGCTGAAGAAGATGGAGAGAAGCCAGGTGTGGTGGTGGTGGTGGCGGCACACACACCTTTAATCCCAGCACTTGGGAGACAGAGCCAGGCAGATCTCTGGAGTTCGAGGCCAGTCTGGTCTACAGAGTGAGATCCAGGACAGGCTCCAAAGCTACACAGAGAAACTTTGTCTTGAAAACAAAACAAAACAAAACAACAAAAGAAACAGACAAACAAAACATAGAGAGAAAGGAGAGTGGAAATGCTGAAGGAAAACCTTTAAATTTTTTGTGCTTAGCCATAGGATGTTGTGGTGGGTTTCCAACAGAGAAGACTTATGTAGTATAATAGAAATGGGCTGAATTAATGCTTGACGATCCAGGTCATGACGCTGTCTAGTGTGACAGTTACTTAACTTCTCCAGGGCTGAGATTTGTGCGTTTCGGATGTGAACAAAATGAGTGTTGAGATGGGAGCCCAGCCAAGACTGAACTACAATAGTCCATTTACAAAATGCATGTAAGGTGCATTTTCCACTGGCCAGATGTTATATAGAATGTACCAGTCATGAAGCAAGCATGCCATAGGAAGCAGGAGACAGAGGGATAAGTGGCAGGAAAATGGAATTAGCAGCCTGCTGGGCACCCGGAGGCAGAGACATCGTCCAGGAATGGTGAGGTACCTGCTTCTGCTGTTTACTCGCCCACTGCACCCCACTTCAAGCTCTTAATGAGGCCTGGCTCATGCTATATTTGACTTAAGAACCAAAAACTGGCAACTTATGGAAGTGATTTTCTAGCCAAAGCTTGGATGGGATACATATGTTCTTGCACAACAATGCAGGTTCCAGGGATGAAAAGATTTGGCTTGGGCAGCATCATGATGCTTGGTTCCTCTAGGCCCCGGGGTGCAGGACAGCTTCCTCTTTTCTGCTCTGGTAGAAGCCCTGCTGCTTATGGAATCTCTGGCCTAAAAAACCAGGGCTACAACCTTAGAGGCAGAATGGGTGAGCATTCTCTCTGTTCACTTGAAACTACCTGAGTGTGTCCTCAGCCTTTGCCCTCAGTGGATTATAGCTTTATAGGAACACATACATCTAAACAAATAGCTATTGGGGAAAGAATACTCTCTCTGTTGTACAAAGGAACATAAGAACAAAACAAAAGTAATTTGGCAAATAATTATATATATACGGGCACCAGAACCCCAAATGGGCTAGTGAAGACATTTGGCCAAAATGGCCACTGGCTTTGATCCCAGACATAGGTAGTGATTTTGTCTCATCCCCTAAATGGGAGCTCAACTTCATAGTCTGTCACACCTGACTAATCAGAGGGGAGGGGAAGGGGGCAGGTTCGGGAAATATGGGCCCTTGTGGGGCTAACTACCTTTGAGAGAAAAGAAGCAAACCTGTTTCTCACCTAGGTTATAGCTCAACAAATGGTCTTCAGTTCTACAGGTGGCAGGGTGGTGCTGGGGACAAACTCTACAACCCACTGCTAGCTTGGCTGAGTCTTAATTTAGGGTCCTAAGCACTGAGGGTGTTTCTGTTCGCTTCTACACTATCGCACCGAGTCCTTCCCGGGTGGAGACGCACTAGCTCCCCATAGCAAATGTTCTCTTGGGAACCGAGCAAGGGCTTGAGTCCCAAAGACTAAGCTTCTCTTTTCCCTTCCAAAGTCAGCCTGGACTCCCTTTTGCGCCGCACTGCCTCTCCATCTGCCAGCTGCCTCTCCATCCTTCCTGTGCCAGCCCAGGGAGCTGACTGGTGCAGGCTCTCAGCTTTGCTCGGAGGCCACACACACACACACACACACACACACACACACACACACACACACACAGGCTAAGCTAGATTGCTAGATTCCGGGGAATCATGAGGTGGGACCCAGAGGTCCCTGCACTTACTCTCTTCAACAGAGACACTGTAAACTTGTCATCTAGGTCTGGAAATTAATAAGAAAAAAATCACCTTTTTTGGATGCAACTTGCTCATGAAGTAAAAAGAGACAACCTTTCCTTCTGCTCAAAAGTCCAGGGTGAGGATGAAAGACTATTTGGGAAAACATTTTGTTGTTGTTGTTTTTCAAAATATAGACTGACTAACTACAGCACACTCTTTGTTTGCTCCTCCTATGGCTCCTTCCAGCTTCCAGTGTTGATGAGCAGATTTTAGTTTCTTCAGCTGTCTTTGAATGTGCTCCTTAATGTTTTTCAATTTCAGTCAATCTGCAGATGGGCAGTCGGGTTTCGGATTCTTCCTGAGGGACACCTGAAGTCAGCATGTACTCCTAAGCAGGTATCAGAAGCCAGATTTTTATTTCTTTTCTAAGAGAGGGAAATGAAGCCTGGATAGAAAGGTTGTCTGGCAACCAGATAAAGGAAGAAATTTCTTTCAGGCTTTCCAAGAAGACAGAATGGAAGTCTTGAAATATAAATTACTTTTTAATGGTGTCTTGAAAAGGGAGTTATTCTTCTCTATCTGACTCTTTTCCCTACTTCCTGAATGTGGCCTATGTAAGCAATTAAACCATTGTGAATCTTTAAATGAACAAAAGGAGAGATATTTTAAGGGATAGAAGGAAGCTGAGAGATGCCCTGTTTTATCCATCCATTTTCTGAAGCAGGGAATTAGGATTTAGAATATATAAAAGATTTATTCTTGATTTCTATCTTTTTAGGACTGAGCCAAGGCCAAATCCAGGGTTCCTACCTCCTTGCCCAGGGCCCTCATCACCACGACAGAGGTAAGGTAGGAGCACAAGTGACTCTACTCAGACAGAGAACAGTGTTTGAAGCCTACTACTAAGCCTTAGTGTCTAACCTGGTGGGAAAAGTGACTGAATTCATTCAAGACCCCAGGCCCTGGGTGGGGGTGGGGCATTAACAACTGGACTGAAATCATTAGCCACACTGACATGTTCACCTTGGAGGAAAAACATCTGTTGTTTCGAATTTGATTTGTTTCTGTTTCATGCGGAAGGGCCTATGGGTTAGCTTCTGTCCTTCTAGTTCAGAATTATTCTACTTACTCTGACTTTTCTGCTGTGGCTTTGGTCTCCTCTGGGACTTCACCCAGTGGCAAGCCTGTTGGCAATCCTGGAGAGCCAGGTTACGTAGTATAAGGATTCCTTCTTGTCAAGTTCATGTTTGTGAACTTCCTACAACTGTGTAGGTTAACTTGATATTATACAATTCAATCCCCCGAGGAGATGCATAGGCCAAACACTTGTTTCTCATGATCTCATTGTGAAACCCTTTTCCTTTTCTAGTCTGTATCTTTCTCCAGTGTGTTAATCAGGGTTCTCAAAAGGAAAGAACCTGTTGAAATGTATATGGGGACTTTTTAGAGACTGTGTTCTGGGTAGTCCAACAATGGCTGCTCATGACAGTAAGGCTGATAATCTGATAGCATTCAGTCAGTGAGAATGAATGTCTAAGGAGTCCCAACCTGGTGCTGAAGTCCTGGAAGACTCCTGGAGTTCTTCATTGTATGTGGGAACCCTGAAGATGTTATTCTAATACAGGTAAAGGGATGCCTCCGCAGCAGGTAGATGAACTTGCCAATGAGAGTGAGGGTGAGCAGGCCAAATGCTTCCATGTCTTTTTACGTGGACTGTCACTAGAAGGTTTGGCCCACATTGAGGCTGGGTCTTTCCTGCCTCAAATAATGTGATCAAGAAAATACTTCACAGAGTGCCCAGCAGCCTGGGTTTTAGTTGATTCTGAATATCGATTAGTTGACATCAGGAAACCAAGATGGGCCATCACACATACAGATGAGTTTTGGGTAAGCCTAGGGTTTATAACGAGTAGGGTGGGCCTGGCTCTTCTAGGTACCTTTGGCTTTCTGTCTTGACTGTGCGACACAGCACACAATGCTCTGTCTTTTGTAGTACAAGGCTCACTCTGTGATCCCTTGCTCTTCTGCCCCCCAAGGCTCTTTCTAATGGACTTGCTGGGAAGTGGGTCTTGCTTTTGTAGCCGTGAGGCAAGAGAGCACTAGGAACTACTTAGACTACTTACACAGCTTCAAGGTAAGTGGGACAGTAGATGCTAGGCTGAGGGGATTGAGTTACAAGGGTCCACAAGTGGTAGATTCTAGACACAGCACCATCAAGTCCTACAGCTGCAAGGAGCTGATGGTTATCTGTGTCAGTGGAGATGGTATGGGCGTTTGGCCACAGCACAGGATCAGTTGGAAGACAGAGACATGGCTGAAATGCATGATTGCTCATGGGGACCTTGCAGTGCAGATTAGGAGAGAAGAAAGGAGGAAAGAGACTATTCAGTTCTGAGAGGCAAAGCCATGCAGTTTTAAGTCAACTTGACACAAGCTAGAGTCCTTTGGGAAGAGGAGACTTCAATTGTGAAAAACCCTCCACCAGATTAGCTTGCTAGAAACCCTGTGAGGTTTTTTATTTTTTATTGACGATTAATAGGGGAGAGCTAAGCCCACTGGGGGTGGTGCTACCCCTGGGCAGGTGGTTCTGGGTGGTGTAACAAAGCAGGCTGAGCAAACCATGAAGATCAAGCCAGTAAGCCATGTTCTTCTTGCTTCTGCTTCATTTCCTGCTTTGGGGTTCTGCCTTGCCCTCCCTCAGCGATAGTGTGATCGGAGAGTTGTCAGATGAAATGAACCCTTTCCTCCCCAAGCTGCTGTGGTGATGGTGTAGAAGCCCTAAGACACATAGGCAATTCTCTTTCCTGTGCTACAAATCAGATGAATCCCCTTTCTAGAACAGCAAGTGTTGGGAAGTGAGAACTAATCCTTACTAGATGTTTGCAAGTGGAATAGGACTGTGTGATTCCTGTCACCTGATGCTGCCAGTTTGTCCCTGGAATGGCCATCTGATCTTTCATGCACTCAATGCTGCAACAGTCCTCTTGGAAATGAAGGGAAGTGGACCTCTTACTGTCCCATCATCAAAGTAGCACATTTAGTAATGGCTATTGTCTAAAGTGCCAATTAATCATAGCATGTGCCCTCTGGACCAGAACCAATTAAATCCAGACACAAAATCCAAAGGGACTCAGTGTCGCTACTTTATTCCAACCTTGGGAGAATTCAGTGTGTATTTCAGGGCATTGGGAGTAGGGGACAATTGTAGATATGCTCTTTTGAATTGAACCAATAGCTCCACCACAGGGAGGGTCACTAGATTCCACAGGGGCAAAGTAGACTTAAACACAGAGGTTCTCAACCCTCCCTAATGCTGTGACCCTTTAATACAGTTCCTCATGTTGTGGGGACCCCCAACCATAAAGTTATTTTGTTGCTACTTCATAACTATAATTTTGCTTTTGTTATGAATCATAATGTAAATATCAGAAATGCAGGGTATCTGATATGTGACCCTGCAGGGATTGAGAACCTCTGCTTTAACAGCATACAAAAATCTGTAATGTGGAGAAAACCACTTGAAGCTGTCCACACTTGCTGCCCCAAGGGAGCCAGAGAGAGCCAGTCACATGCTCAGAACAGTTTTGTACATTGGCAGATGGTACCGAATGGAGGTGCAGAAGATGGAGAGAAGACTTCCTCATGATGCTCTCTACTACATACGTATGTTTCTCAGTAAACCTTCTTGTGTCTCTCCCTGTCAACAGAGTCCTCTTTTAACACCTGTCTCTGAGACTGTTGGCTGTGTTTTTGTGTGTTTCTTCCCATCTCACCTTGTGTCTTAGTTACCTTTCCATTGCTGTGAAGAGTCACCATGACCAAGGAAACTTATAAAAGGAAGAGTTTATTGAGGGCTTGCTTACAGTTTCAGAAGGTTAGAGTTCATGACTGCCATGGTGAGGAGCATGGCAGTGAGCAGGCAGATATGGAGCTGGAGCTGAAAGCATACATCTTGATCTTCAAATAAGAAGTAGAGAGATATAACTGGGACTAGTAAGGTCTTTAAAAACCTCAAAGATGGCCGGGCGGTGGTGGCACACGCCTTTAATCCCAGCACTCGGGAGGCAGAGCCAGGCGGATCTCTGTGAGTTCGAGGCCAGCCTGGACTACCAAGTGAGTTCCAGGAAAGGCGCAAAGCTACACAGAGAAACCCTGTCTCGAAAAAAAAAAAAAAAACCTCAAAGATGACCTTCAGTGACACATCTCCTCCAGCAAGGCCACGCCTCCCAATCCTTCCCAGACAGTTTTATCAACAGAGACTAAGTCTTCAACTATATGGCCTATGTGGGTCAGTCTCATTCAAACCAATGCACCCAGTACTGAATCCACAGAAGGTTTCTTAGCAAATCCATGCTCAAACTTTAGTTCACACCTTAGTGAAACAGAAACAATCTGACTCAGTGGGGTGTGGCACTCCCTGAGACAAGGGTTTTTGTGTGCACATAGTTCATTGGAGAAGCCATGCCAGGGCACACCAGCAGGGAAGGGAAAGAGAGACCTAGAAAGGACTGTAGCCCATAAAGGGTGTTACCAGTGAGTCACCATGGGGGGACTGGAGAGCTTATGCCTCTGAAGGACTCCATGAGCAGTCTAAAAAGACTGTTAAAAGTTATTCCAGTTGGAGTGAGGGAACTTAGGTATCTCTTCCCCATTTTCTATCATGTCACACTATTTCTGCTTGATGGAGTCTGACGTAATCTAGCAGTTGATGTGATCATCATGTGTCCCCGGGAGCTTTTCCTCTGCTTTCTGTTGCTTTGACAGAGGAAATGTTCTAAGCTCTTCCCTGGTAGGTTATGCTATGGCAGGCTGCAAAGTTTCAGACCTCCAAACAGCTGTGCCCCTCTGGCGTGGAAGAAGACACTAGACACGGCCTGGCAGTGGCAGGTCTTACAGTCCCTTGGAAACTCCACCAAGCCCACCCTGCTGCTGAGTTGCTGATGTCATCTCAAGTGTTGAGAGAACCCCAGGTTCTGAGAAGTCTTCCCCTGAGTGTGAGATGAACCTTGCCAACCCTTCTACTCGACTGTTTGTACTGCTGCTGGGTGACTGGGCAGACAACTGGACCCGGCGACTAGAGACCCTTGAAGCCATTCCGTGGTCCTTCCCATGTAAATAGGGAAGTGGAATGGGTAAGTGATGTGTCCCAGGAAGGCTTCACTGCAAAGCAGATCTGTCAACTGAGCCCCTAACTTCTACCCTACCCCCACTCTCAGCATCTATGATCTGCTCAGGCACTGCTTGCTCCTTTGGTTGCCACAGACTCTGATGCTTTTGCAGCAAAGGACCCAGAACCTGGCATCTTACCTTGTTGCCTCTTCTCTTTGGAGTTTGGTGGCAAGATTTATCTCAGTCCCCTGGTTGGCTTTAGCTGTCGACTTCACACAACCTAGAGTCACCTGAGGAGAGGGCCTCTGTAGCACGAATCTTAAACAGTCTTATTAATAAAAAAAAAAAAAAAAAACTCGGTGCCAGGTATTGGGGTGAATGCTGGAAGATCAGAGAAGCAGAACAAGCCACAGCTACCTTGCCTTGCCAGTTCCTCAGCTGATCCTGTTTCCTCAGACTGGAAGCTTCTGAGTCCTCATCCAGAATGAATCTCAGCTGAACTGCTGCTCAAAAGCCTAAAAGAGACAATTTATAACTTCTGTGAAAATTAGAGACAAAATAAAAAGCCATGTTCTGGTTGATGATTTACACATCTCTTTTCATTTATATTCAATTCTTAAAAGTTTTAAATTTCTTTTTTATATTTTTTTATTGTTTAAAATTGTTTAAAACAATTCTAAATTTAAATATATTTTGATCATATTTTCCCCTCCCCCAAATCCTTCCATATCCTCTCCCCCTCCCTACCCAAACAACTTTTTCTTTCTCAAAAAACAAACAAAACCCCAATATTACAACAAACCCCCTAAAACCAAGAAAATAAAATAAAACTACTTCCAAAAAGAAAAACAAACAAACAAAACAAAATAAAAACAAACAAAAACCAAACTGTAACTAAATAAAAGCACATACATACAAATGTGGAGACTACTATATGTTGGTCAACTAACTACTCCTGAACATGAGGCTTGTCCTAGACTGGTTGATAGACCCAGTGTCCTCCACTGGAGAAAGTTGATTTTCCCTCTCCCAGTAGATATAAGTCACAATTCAGTTGCTTACCTTTACCCTAGTGACTAGGTTTTCATTCATTAATTTTTAAAAAAAAAAATATAACAAAATATAATAAGCCAAGACAAAAAACCATCACTTTGGGGTTAGATGGGACAAACCAACAGAAAATGGGGTGTCTCCATTAAATCCCTCGCTGCAGAGCTCAGGGAACCCCTCAGAAGAAGAGGCAGAAAGAGTGTAAGAACCAGGGGGAAAGGAGGCCCCCGAGAAGACAAGGTCCTCTAAATCAACATGATCAAAGCTCCTATGAACTCACAGAGACTGAAGCAGCATGCACAGGGCCTGCACAGGTCTGTACCAGGTCCTCTGTGTATGTGTTATGGCTCCAGATGAGTGTTTTTATGGGATTCCTGAGTGAATGAGTGAGTGAGTCTCTGATTCTTGTGCCTTCTCTTGGGCTCTTTTCCTTCTGTTGGTTTAAGCATTTTTAAATGTACACTATTTCTTCTTATGCCCTCCTCTCTCTCTCTCTCTCTCTCTCTCTCTCTCTCTCTCTCTCTCTCTCTCTCTCTCTCTCTCTGTATGCATGCACACCCACATGGAGCCAGAGATCAATGTTGAGTGTCTTCCTTAATTGCTCTTCTACTTTATTTATTGAGACAGAGTCTCCCTGAATGCACAGTTTGCTAATTAGGCTAGACTGGCTGGCCAGCAAACCCCCAGGATCCTGCCACCCCCTCCATAGTACCTGGCTTTAATATGGGTGCTGGGAATCTAACTCATGTCCTCACACTTTGTAGCAAGCACTTTTCTGACGGAACCATATCCCCAGCCCCTAATTTTCCTATTTATGGATGCGAGTGAAATTGTATTGCGGGTACACTTTACACTATGTGTAATTTAGGTGTGCAAAAGCAGGACGTTGTTTCTCTTTCAACTTCACATTTGTTATGGATTAAAATTTTCTGTCCCCCCTCCCTCCCCCGCAAATATACGTTGGAATTCTAAACCCCATATCACAGAATATGGTCTTATTTGAAGAGCATCCTTACAGAAATAAACAAGATAAAATGAGGTCACTAGGGTGAGCCCCGATCCAGTATGATTAATAAAAGGGGGGAGTTCAGATACGGCCATACACACAGGGAGAGCATGAGCCTAGACAGAGGTTGGAGTAAAGTCTCTATAGGCCAATAATGCAAAGGAATGCCACTGAACCACTAGGAGCTAGACAGAGAGCATGAAAGTCTCTCTTTTCTGCCACTAGAAACCAACCTTCCTGGTGCCTTTATCCCCAGGTCTTGGCCTCCAGCACTCTGAGATGGTAACGTTTAAGTTGTACAATGAGAACAGCAGCCCCGGTAAAGCAACACTCAGTTGTTTTTCCTTTTCATTCATGGAGATAAACTTGACCTCATCAGTCCAAAGCCTTTAGTTGAACTCCGTCTTTTTAAAAGATAAACACTCAGCCCACTCAGGATTCCCTTTCCCTCTCTCCCCTCTCCAGGCTGTGTCCCCAGGCACACGCACCTGTTTACCCTGAGCTCTGCTGCTCTGTCCCTGTTAGCTGGGTTAACTCCACGGACTCAGTCTATAGTGCTGGTGTCCATTCCATACACCTTCCCTGTCAGCTTCCTGAATTAGATTATTTTACCTCAGTTTCCCATGAGGCATTTCCTGGTCTGATGGTGCATTCTGTCCTGACTGATGAGGGATAGGGTAAGGTGAGGCAAGAGTGAGAAATACTTTCAGATGTCTAGAGTCTGCCTCAGGGACCATAAACTGCCAGAGCAGGATAGAGAGTTTCCAGGACAAATCTCTGTCATCTGGTGCTTGTTCTACTCCTGCTTTTCTCTGCTGATGTGTTAAGAACTGTCTGTGAGGCCAAAGTAGGTAAACTGAGGCATCACTGTACCAACTGAACTGGACCTTCTGACCACCCATTAGCAGAAAGATGATTCAACAATTGAAAAGACTGTCATACCATGGAATAGTGTGCACTTGCTAAAAAATGATCTATCTTTACCTCATCACCACTGAAAGATTTCCAAAGCATATTAAATTCTACAACATGAGTGCTTTTATTATGGGTTGGATCTTAAACACGTGGAAAAGGCGCATATGCAAATGGCTTGGTTACCAGCCTGTTGCACTATTGGGGAGTGGTGGGACCTTCAGATGGTAGAGTCTCGTGGAAGGAAGCTAGGTTATCTGAGGTGGGTCACTGAAGGGGGTGCTAGGACCACGACTCCCATCACATCTGTCTTTTTACATCCAGTCACCATGAGGTATAAAGCTTTAACCACTATATTTGGTCTACCATAGACCAATGACCATGACCTGAAACCTCTGAAACTGAGTCAAAGAGACCTTCCTCCTTTTAAATTGATCGTCTCAGGTGTTTTGTTATAGTAAGGGAAAGCTAACATAGCCTCAGCTTATTTTATAAGCCCTCCCTCCCTCCCTCCCTCCCTCCCTCCCTCCCTCCCTCTCTCTCCCATCCCCCTTCTCTGTCTGTCTCTGTCTCTGTCTCTGTTTCT